TCCTCTCTCAGGGGAATCGTCGATGCCTCCGATTCCTTATTCACGAGGGCGGAGGGCCGACTGTTTCCCTGCTACCAAACGATCAAATCAGATAAGTAGTACGCCCGACACTTCGGAGTCCAGACGTCTTGTATCTCACGAAGTGAGCGAATTATTTAATCGTAGGTATTTCTATCATAGAAGAGGAGAGCCTGCGACATTATAGGTTTTCGCACATATTCATTGTATAATCACATAGTCGTCGTTGTCGTCGCATCACCGGAACCGATTCATGGGATAATTCGGGCGAGCCTGACTTACATAGGGTATTACCTCCCACAAGTCGTCAGCTATACCGTCGGATTTATGGCTGTCAGATCCTATTCACAACAGTGGACGTTAATGGCCGACGGAGAGGGTCCGAGCATCCGTCGGCGTCGCATGGACCCGAACAATTGGGCCTATAGAGAATTCCGTCTATGCCCACTAAAGACGAGAGTATCGCGCCAATTTCTTCATCCAGAACCCGTTTCACCCACGCTTCCCAATGAGTGGGGAACGGATCGACAGAAAATTTGAGCTCCGGAACTCGAGAGTAACAGCGACAGAGCTGAGAGGCTCGATTAGGAGATATTTCCGCTGCTGGGCCAGCCGCGCCGTGGCCGCCGTAAGACGGAATCCTGAGAGCTCATACCACGGAAAAATCCGCGAGATGTAGGTACTCATAGGTGAATCCATCGTGTGAACCCATTAGTGAGTCCGTTGCACAACTGTTTGTTTTCCCCAGGAATCTCTCCCTTAGTACACCCCAATCTTCCGCCTAACGTTAGGCGTGTTGACGCGAGGCAAGCGGACCGGGTTGATAAAATCTTTGATTGAGCCCAGAGTTGCGATTCTCGCGGATCATGTGAATCTCATTATCTCAGGGCGATGAACAAGAACAATTTTCCCCATGAGCTCGTTGCGGGAGAGCATCCCCCGACACTGAGCACGAACGAGCTTCTCACGGTCACGGGGGAGAGAACTCCGGTCCCATGTCCCGATGAGCAGGATCTTCCGAAGATATCCGTCCAGAGAGCGGCAAAACCGCGGCGAAAGCAGTGATCAAACATCGCGGCGGGGTGCCCTGACCACGAGAATATAATACCCCTGGAGAGAGCGAGCCTCCTAGAGGGGATTCTGCATTACTTACACGCGCGCTGTGAGTTCCTCAAAGCATGCTCTCGCGCGGTTCCGTCGCTCGACAGTCCGGTCTGATCATTGGACGAGAGAACGAGATTGGTACAAGTCGCGAACGAGCAAACACGGTATGTTAGTCGCTGTACGGGACACATGTCCAGCAGCCGCGCGACAGAGTTTTTTGGCAGACAGGCAGAGTCGGCTGAGATTGTCCGGATAACCACGCAAATTCGTCCGGGCCCTGATGGAATCGTGTCCCGCAGATCTTCGTCGGATGTTCGTTCGCGTGCCCTGCTCGACATTCCCCGATCGTGAACACTTCGGTGAGGAGATCTCCCCCAGGAGTAGAACTTGGCTTGACATTTCACTGCCATTTATTCCATGTGGCTACCCGAGCGCTCTCGGCGAGTCCTTGCCGGTTCGATCCCTGGGGGGGACTTCAGAAATCCATTAGGCTCCAAGAGGGAACCGATCTGGCCGACCTGTTCACTCGAATGCAACGTTGTATTGGCATGGATCATAGCGGTTTCTCACCGGGGTGGAGCCCACGGGATGAGCGCTCTCGGTGTTGCGGTCCCCGTGCCCGAAGCTCAGGAGGATCTCGCCCGCGGAAGTCTCAGACTCACCTAACTGCAGAAATGCTCTGCTCGGAGAGCGTGTGTCGCAGTCGCTCGTCGGATTCAATATGGGCTCGGTGACACCGGTCGAGCGGTGAGAGCTGAACACCGCAGTGAGTCTCTCTCTGAGAATTCCATTCCACGCCGAGAAGTGCCCACGCCTTTACAAGTTGGACCCTGCACATGATCCGGAGCCAGTCAATCGAGCGACATTCGAAAGTATTTCGTCTCTTTTGAATGCTCTTCGTACGGCTCCTTACGCTAATTTGGTTTGTATCTCGCGAAGGACAGATCGACGCTGAGAGAGCCCCTATTAAGAGCGGGAAACGGTGAGGGCGGATGTTACATCCCTCGATACCGGTTCCTCTGGTTCGATGAGAAATTCAAATAGGGAAAAGACTCCCGCAGACGGCTAGGTTAGCTGGGAACGTCGGCTTCCTGACGAGCAAAACCTAAGTGGGCACGGTACTCAATTCAGTAGCCGTGGCGCAGATGCGTGGGTCTTGTCCTGCTTGTTCCAACTACACAGTCGAGGACCTCCTCCGACCGAGCGACCGCCACGTAGCGAGCCGTCGACCGAGCATCGAATGTTTCGAATGCTCATCCGTTGCCTTGCAGCTGCGAACGTTTGCAAATAAGGCAATGATCCGTAATGATGCGTGCAGCTGAGCAGACATCTGAATTCGCAGCTGGAGAAAACAACTGCAGTTCCTGATACGATGAGCGCTCCATAACTCCTCTCTGTTAGACTGCGAGCGGCACTGGCGACGACGGCGACATCTACAAGAGCGTTCTCGTGCCCCGGAATATCGTATTCTTTCGGAATCGGCAGCACGGAAAACCCTTCCGCCACGCAGCGGGACTATTCGCGGCCTTGCCAGCATACAAATCGCTCTAACGTCACGAGCTGACCTCTGAAGGAAACGACCGCACTCGCTAAACGCCACGGATCATGCTATGGATTTGATTTGTACTGCACGTCACGTTTATCGGAGACTCGGATCCTTCGGCCGCCATGGATAGCATTCACGTTTATCGCATGTGCGATGTCACTTATCGAATCAAGGTCGCACCATCGTTGATTCCTGATCACCAATGTCAACAGTTGGCGTCCAAGGTCCCCTACGAATTGGTCCCGGGCCCTGGCTCAATCTGACGAGGGTTTCGAGTACCCAGAACGTTGGATTTCCAAGATGGTCATTAGCTCTCGGGAGGCGCTTTCTGTCGGCTGCAAGTGTCTGGCACTCGAATCATTATATCTCACTTAAATTGCCTCTCGATAGATCGGCCGGAGAAGAAGACCTTAATGACATCAGAGCTCGCCGGCTCGCTCAGGATACAGAATGGCTTGTAGCTCTTAGGTCCACTTCCATTATAGGCACACATGGACGATACAGCTACTGCCGGTCCATCTCCAGCGAAAGAAGAGCTCGCTCGGAATGATCACTAAGATTTCCGAAAATGAAGCAGCATACATTCGTACTCCGTACGTACATCAGGCACCCATCGTCCATACACACATCATCCATACACACATCATCCATACACACATCATCCGTACACACATCATCCATACACACAACATACACACATACATACATACATACATACATACGTACATACATACCCACATACATACATACATACATACATACATACATACATACATACATACATACATACATACATACATACATACATACATACATACATACATGCATACATACATACATACATACATGCATACATACATACATACACACATACACACATACATATAATATACATACATACATTCATACATACATACATACATACATACATGCATACATACATACATACACACATACATACATACATACATACATACATACATACATACATACATACATACATACATACATACATACATACATACATACATACATACATACATACATACATACATACATACATACATACATACATACATACATACATACATACATACATACATACATACATACATACATACATACATACATACATACATACATACATACATACATACATACATACATACATACATACATACATACATACATACATACATACATACATATAATATATATATATCCTTTATTCATCGAGACGTCTGATGGCCGTACTAAGCTCAGATGCTCTGCCCGGCGAATTCTTCTACTCGTTCCATTCATTGAGCCGCCACCTGTAGATTGAGGGCTCTCGAGTTCCAGCTTCTCCAGGCTTCCTTGAATTAGGAACACGTTGGCTCCGCTGGCGGAGGAGACCGGAACACGGAGACTGCTTCATTCCCCGTAGAAATCGCTTATGGGGTAGACGCTCCTCCTGCTCTGACATCCGCAGACCTTCCGACCGGGTTTCATGGAGTCACTCTCCTCTCCCGTCTCTCTCGAAGTCCACTAGTCCACCTCTGCGACGCGCGCGTCTCTTCGACTAGACCCGGGGACGAGATTCACTCACAGTCGCGTCTGGTCTCCACTGAAACATTATCCGGTCTCCCGGAGCCTCCAGAGAGGAGAATTCGGAGACTGAGATCAACACGAAGCTTCTGTTTTATTTCTGCCTCAAAAGTTACAACCGGCGGGAGGAACGTGATGCTGCTTCCGAAATATGAACCGGAGCGGAGTTGCTGCTACACTCGAAAGTTTATGAGAAAGCGAAACCGAGGTAAAACCATTTGGCACCGGAGACATGATCAGATGTGGGAGGTGCAGACGCATACCGGATCGATAAGCTAATACGTCTTGCGCAGTCAAGGTGACAGCGGTACGTGAGTAATTCACGCCCGCTAGGGATGTTGACTGGGTTTCTGCGAGAAGGTCAAAAACGCGTGGATCGCTGCTCTAAACTATGCTCACTCACCTTCCTCTTTCAAAACATGTCGGAATAAGGATAAATGCACGAAAATAAATGCAAACTTTCGTCACAGACATGGTCGAGGATAGAGCACCCGAAGGTATTCCCTATGATTCGAGTGACAGTGTAATCTCCACAAAAGTCAACCCGAGTGAGTCTTGAAATTCTTAGCGAAGGGATGGTCAGCTTCTCCTCTTCCGATATCATGTCAGAGACTAGTGAGCACAATTCCTGAGTCGTCGGGTCGGCGACGCGACGCTTGCGTTTCGAGAGCCGCCCTTCTACCTATAGGTACTTGTGACTCCACATAGACATAGGTCAGATTTCAATTCAGAATGATTAGCTGGATCATCGGTCGGGGGCATCGGCCTGCATCTCGAACTCCGTCCGCATGACTCCGCCGTCAATCTTCAGGAGTCCTCTGAATTTTTTCGGTGGGTTCTGCTCCATTTCACGAAGACGCGTCTCGGTTCGCAATCTGTTCTCGATGTCTAAGGCCGCTCTGGAAATAATCAACGCGAACCGCGATTAAGCGCTAGCTAGAGAAGCAAACGATTGCAGAGAGCATGCGGAGGAGCGGCCATTATTCGAGGGAGCGAAGAAAAACATGCTAAGAAAAAGAGTTTTCCGCTCCTCACTGTCTCCTCGAGAACTCTTCGGAAAATGGCTTCTCGCAAGTGAAGACATCGAGCCATACTCACTGAGCCTGAAGTCGACGCATTTCACACTCGAGCAACGCAACTTTCTCGAGAAGCGCCGGAGTCTCGAGGGACGCTGACGCACTTTTCTCACATTGACTCCTGCAGCCATTGATACCGGAAGACGGGTTCGCGGACTTCCCGGATGCTTTCTCAACCAGGTGCGGCAGTTCTTCCTCATGAGGACTCTGAGCACGCGAATGGACCACTGTGGCGCTGCCATGGACGGCGTCGGCGGCTCGCGCTGCGTTTGCAGAAAAGTCCTTGACATGCCCACGCAGTTGCCGGATCTCATTTCTGAATTCTGTGGCAGACTTTCGCAACGAGCTCACTTCAGCGCGCAATCTGAGATTCTCCTCGTGGGCCAGCCCTACAATGGCGATCTCGCCTCGGAGTTGCGTGATCTCCTGATCTTTCTTTGCGACCGCGTCCTGTAGAGTTGAGAGGTCTCTGAGAAGTTTTGATATTTTCTTCTCGTAGGCCGCGAGCTTTTCGCTTCTGTCTCCCGGGATACTATTCTCGTTATTTCTACTCGGACGCTGCTTCGCCATCGATGATTCGGTTCCGTAGTTGGTGACGTTACCGTTTTCATCCTGAATGTTCCCTCGTAGAGGCTCGGTTGATGTGGCGGCGTTTTCGGTGGGTTTATCCGCGGCGAGAGCGTTGTCCCTTTCGAGCCGAGCCATTTTGAGTTCGTGCTCATACTTGTGCAGAAGCTTCTGCAGTGCTGTCAATTTTGATGTGTAATGATCCAGCTGACGGGCTAGCTCTCTTCTCTCTTCGATGGCCGTCGCAAGTTCGGCTTTAAAGTCATGATTCGTTGACGATTCTATGGCACGGCCACGGATTTCATCAATTTCACTCTGGAGGCGCGCATTCTGCTCCCGTAGAACTTGAATCTGAGCGTTCCCGCTGCCCACTCCGAAATTGCAGGATCCGCTGTTGACCAGCTGGGTGAGCCTCTGGATTTCGCTATCTCTGAGCTTGATTTTGTTGATAAGAAGACCGCTGTTCGTAACATTCCTATCCAGTTGAGACATCAGAGTTCGATTGGTGTTCTCCAGCTCATGGAGTTTTTTGTCGGCGTATCGAAGCAGATCCAAGGCCTCGCGATCTGTCTGGGAAACTCCTAGAGTTTGCAGAATGTTGCTCTTTGGGACCTCCACTGTTCTTGGCAGCATCTCCTCGAGATTTCGAATCTTTTCCTCGAGAGCTTCTTTCTCACCATCGAATTTTTTCGATAAAATTTTGAGTTCGGCGTCTTTCTCTTCGAGTTGAGTTTTGTATAGCATAGCGGCAAGTGATAGATCGTTATTACGACGGCTCAGCTGGCTCAGATCCTCCGAAACATTCCGGAATCTGCTGAGATCCTTCAATAGTGTCCGTACAATGTGAGAAACAGAACCATTCCGTGCGAGGCTGTATCCTAGCTTGGATAGCTCGTGACGAGTCGAGCTATCCAGCGAGTCCATGGTGACGGAAGCTTCTCGGTGCAGATTTCCGGAACACAAAACGATCACTTGAAAACCGGGTGCGAACTAAGGCGAAGAACCAAACAAAGACTTATGAAAACGTAAAATTCTAACTAAACATAACGGTGCGGCTCAACCAAAATTTGAATTCTGGGAGTGACGGGAGGCGCCATTTTGATTTTCTGGTCACCAGAAGGTCTTTAAGTGAGTATCCACGGCCCACAGCTCGGGATCGAGAGGCGCATCCGATTCTCGGAGTTTCAATGAGAATTGATTAAGCGTGGGAGGCGGCATGATTCTTCATATTTTTCAAGGCTGAAAAAACTCAAGAGCTGCCTCGATCATCTTCCGGGCCCTTCCGTTCCAAGAAGCCGTTGAATTCCGGGGAGCGTAAGGTCATTCTGAACCACGGGACCCGTCTTTCAGAAGACCTGGGAACGCCGCAACGTGCGTCAGTCAGTCCACGTACAATCACAGCGAGGAACGACAGCGTGCATTCAACTTTCGCTACTTGTTCCAAAGAGACTGCTGCTTCTGGTGCAATTCATCCTACGAGGAGGGTCGTGGAGCTCTGCGTCTCCATCCATGAGCAGCCACGTTCATTCCTCCGGACACTCAGTCTCGACGCTTCCTTATCGGAACGCTTTTCCGATACAAACAATGCGCTCATATCCGAGGAATACTAGTAACACAGCAAACACTATCGGGAATATCCGCCGTGCTCAGGCTACAACGCCCACACCGGAGGCGGAAGACCTCCGACTTCCATCGAGCCCAGAGTCGATAGGCTCGGAAATCTCCATCAAAAGATAGATCCTCGAGATGTCAGACTGTCGGTGAGCATCATGCGGGAAAATCCGAGGCGAGAATGAACTCGATTATTGGCATCAGGAGCTATGATTCATCGCGAGTCTGGAACTCGTCCGACTTGCCTTCATCAATAAAAACCTAGAAACGGATGGAGCAAGCACCTACCCACTCCAGCCATCCATCCGAGCGAATCGAAGCTGCTCCCTTGTGAAGGATACGATCGTATGCGGTAGCGAACGCATGCCCACGATATGCTTAAAAAGCTCCGGCATTTGCGCGGGAGACGGTACAATATATCAAGATGATGAAGCAGCAACAGTTTTCGTAATATCCACACGGACAGCACGAGGCTCGTCTTCCGCGAAGATGAAGCTTCTCCCGAGCGAGGAGATCCGCCGTTCGGTCACACGACAGTCGTATATTGCAGGGTCGTCGGTCGTTATTCCGCGGATTATCCTGACCGCAGTAAAGGCGTTGTTTGTACTGGAACATATCAGTCAGTGATTGTTAGCCATAGCGAGCACCAAGCCCCCCCAGCCGCGATACCGCGCGCTCTTGTGGACAGATGCGGGACGATTACACATGGACCGCATCTCATTTTCCCACGACAGTGACGAGAGTATTAAGCTTTCGGCCACATCCCCGATACCCAGGAAAATTCATCTGTCAGTGTGCCGAGAGCTCCTAATAACATATGAAGGTGATAATTGACATTTAGGGAGGACGGCAGCCCATCGGTATGTTCTGTAATTCTCGTTCTCCCTTCGGCCTGAACGCAACACGTTAGCCGCACATTGATCGAGTGGAGTTAGCGCATATTCATTAAGCGTATTCCCTCGTGCATGCTTCACAACGCCGCGAAAGGGCGTCTCTCAAGGAACCTCGGAGCCATGGCATACACCTGTCTTACCGAATATTTACACCACCTTCAAGGCAAGCGATCACTGACCCCGCTCGTTGCTTGCTCGGAGCAGCGAGACCTCTTTCGACCACATCATTTTGTCGGGATACTCCTCGAGGAAGATTGCGTCCTGACGCGGGAAAAAGTGGAGCCATCGCGGCTCGTTGAGGAAATCGGAGGTTTCTCTAGGCTCTGCTGCAATTGATATCCATCAAGCTCATGACGTAAGAGAAGAATATTCGTCCGCGGAAGGAGTCGATTTCTACGATCGAGCTTCTCGGAGCGAACAATCACGAGGAGAATACCTACCTCATTTTTACCGTGGAGTCGGGAAGCCCCCTCAGGTCCTTCGGAACAATGTATCAGAATCGACCCCAGTCGAACTGGCTCACGGGAGGATGTATCCCGACCGGAGAATCTTTTCCTCAAGGGATGCATTTTGCCAACTACGGAATTCTCTGTGATCCGATCCTGATCCCGCGTAAGGCTTCCTCGGCCGTGCAGAGGAATTTTCATTTGATGATCATAGCTCGCTCTATGGTTCTAAACCGGGAGTACTGGTCCCAGAGGACTCAGAATATCCGGAGAAGCCGATGGCGAACGAACACGAATCGTTTCGGATTTGACGGCAAGCCGGTCAAATTTCTGGAGGCCTCGATCTTTCGCAAGAGGGAAGTCACTTATGTTTTAGAAATGTTGGAATCTGATGAGAGTGATGCACCCGCCCAAAGACAGAAGATATCTCTGCGTTCCAGGAACGCGAGGATTCTGCCCCTGTGCTGTGCTTCGATTCATATTGAACTCGACGATGTTCAGCTCCCGAGCAGCGTCCGTGGTATGCAAATTGCCAGGTCCACGCCCTTTCTGGAAATTAGACTCTCTGGAATGCTCGGTTGGATATCAGAATCTTCCGCCTAGCATATCAGCCATCGCAGCCCGGAGCCTAGCTATCGAAACGGATTTCGCCTTGCAAGGGGAGAGTATTCGTTGGAACCTACAATGCTCTGGTGATATTCGCGACCATGGGTCATGCGCGCCGTAGGCGATTGATACGAGCTTTCTTCGAGAAGAAACACTTTCGACTACGGCAGGACTCTCAATCGATCGTAGACAAGAATGAGCAGTCCTCGCCTGGAAGTTGCAGAGGCATGCTATTGACGCCCGGAGTAGCAGCGCTCGATCTCGTTCCTGGAGCTATTCATCCCCTACAGCTTTCTTCGCATCGTGTTCGCTCCCTGGATCCCATAGGCCCATGTTGTGGAATCAATGTTCTCTGGGAACCTGCGAATAACTCCGAGCGGCCAGTGCATACCCATCGAGCCTGCTCACGTCTCTCCTTCCGAAGTATCGAGGCGGGCTTTCCTCGCGAAATGCGGAGCTGCCTCCGGGGTCATGTCGAATGTCGTCAGCAGAGCGATGGGGCGCGAGCGCTGATTCCATGGAATCGTATCCTTGGGAATTATACGATCCTGGGGCGACAATTCCATGGGATCATATGCTAGAGAATCGGGTCCTGGAATGAATTGCCTGGAAAACTTATCGTTTTTGGTCCTATATTCCCGCTGCAGCGCATCAAGACGAAAATTCGACGCTTCGACTTTGCTCCCAAGGTCACGCCGTCATAATTAATTCTACGCAAAATGTCACGAACCGCGTGACTAATTTGAGGGCGAAACGCTAGAGACTCCGGCCCCCTCCGAGGTTCATTTAAGTCTTGTTCTGGAGACACTGCACGCGTTCGCTCTCTAATTTAAGTCGGTACGACGCAGATTCAGAGAGTCGCGGTTGATGCAATCTGGACACGAAACATCGCCCTCGGGACAGCCACTAGATCTGATGTCCCGCAACAAAAATTGGACGGCGCATATTCGTATCCCGGCCGTACGACTGCGGCGAAGCAACTTGCACCCGGGCAGGAAACGGAACATTTTTCAATTACAGTTTAACGAGACGCAAAGGATCGCGCGAAGTGCGAGTCGCTCCTAAATACAATTCCACGGCCCCGCCTACATCTTAGATAGCGTCGGAGCGATCGTTTCCAGTATACCCAGGAACTCGATCTGGGCAAGTACTTGGTATGAGACAGCTTTCCCTTCATCGAGATGGAGAATCAGATAGACACCGAATCAAGGCCTCTCTGGTATAGATCTTCTTCACGTTTCTCCATGCTGCGGTGTATGATACCAATTATTTTTATCAGGTTTCGCTGGAGGAGCGTGAGACCGAGTAGTCGCGTGGAATAGACAGCTCGTTGGAGCTTCTTCGATTATTCTCCTTCAGTGTAGCCGTGGGGCAGTCGATTTTTTGTCTATCTCCCCAGGGAGCTGCGTAAGCCCGCTGGCAGAAAATGAGGTTCCGGCGAGAATTGAACGAGGTTTTGAAGTTCAACTCCTATCCGAGCATGCTCGCTCGACGCTTCCCATCACAAGAAGCAGAGCATTTCTCCGTTGAAAGGGAGGAGCGGATAATTCCCTCGTGATTTTCCCTTGTCCTGATCGGATGGGAGCACTGAGAAGCATTCATGGCCGACATGCGTGCCACGGACTAGGGGAGTTTGACAGCGTGGTGAAAGGAAAAGCTACGTAAGATCAATAATTATTTCGCTCTCAAATTTCCAGGACGTTGCTCGAACATCGAGCCTTTCGCTCGGTGTCGAGACGGAATTTCACGATTCTACGACATCTGATGCAGTACATGTACCGTGCCGCGGGGAGGCAGTAGGAACGAGTTACTGTGAGGGCTCCTCAGCCTAACGTCGCCCCATGAATCCAGTTTCGCCCGACCCCCTCGATAAAGAGATGTCATCATCGTGCTTAAAGTTCACAGATCACTGAAGAATGGCTAACAGTCTGTGACGCGACTTTGGCCCTACGAGACTTTCTCATGGGACAGATCAAGTTTCTCAGCCTCATCAATGAATGGAGGTTTTTTTTTTGTCAAATCGTATTCAATAAATGCTCTTTATGTCTCGGAGATCCGGAAAACAATTTCGCTCATGTTTCGAAAACGGCAAGAATCCTGAACTCGTGGTGATTGGTGGACGAGGCGCTTGCGAAGGAAACGGTTCGTCAAGGTTGAACGAGAGGGCCCGACATTCGGTGGCGGACCTTTCGAAAGGGCTTCTCAGGATAGCATCAGCTCTGAAGATCCCTCACGGAGTCCAGAGCCACGCAACTACTGCCTCCGTCCAAGCTAGTTGCGAACGATGCACTCAATCCACGCGAGTATCTCCTTCGAGGGTAGAACCACCACACGAGTAGAGATTGGACAACGCAAACGCTCACGAGAAGAATGCATGCGACAAGGAGTAAGGCATTATACGACGTTGACGTCGTCGTCACCCACAGCGCGTCAGAATCCTCTCGGCTCTCTATCTGGGGACTCGGAGTTCCGAGAGGGCTCACCGGTTCTGAAATGGAAGCGGTGACCTCAGAACTAATGAGGAAGGCTCCCGTACCTACCGCAAAGCTCCACATCGAGGGATGTCCAGCTCCGGGTGAAGAGCCGCTTATACGAACTCACCTGCGGGCTTGACAGGCAAACATGAGCTCTTATCCTGACCCAGAACGTAGTCCGACGTGCAACTACACCGCGCGGAGTCGGCCACGTCACGGAAACAGATTTGGTCACATTTCTGCAGTGAAGAGTAGTTTTGCCTCCTTAAGGTCAGATCTAAGGAATCCGGGACCATTTCCAACCCTCGAGGCTCTATCTCCGCTCACCTTACTGCATCTCCACGAAATATCGTCCTGCTGTCGATAGTGATGATTCACGTAGATAGCGCGCACCCCCTGTCCCATGAAGAAAGTGATGGGAGCTTTGAGACCGTCCTTTGTCCGTGAATGGATTCCGTCGATCCCTTCCATCGTGTAATAGATGAAATCCTCAAAAACATCCATAAAAGCAACGTTTCCCGGAAGACTGTCGGTCACCCACAAGCTCTGTTTGCCGTCAACGGCAAAGCTGAATATATTCTTGTTCACAGCGTAGAACACGAAGATATCATTGAGGTCGATATTGTCGATCGCGAGAACTTCGCTCGTGACATCCTCGGTATCGACGTGGTCGTAAAATCGAAATAGATCTGAGAATTTTCGTCCGTCCAGCCGGGCTCGGACAACAACGCCGATCGACGAGTAGAATAGCCACGCTTTCCCGGGATCGATCGCGAGAGAAGTCATGGAGCCATCGTGTTCGATGAGTGTTCCCAACAATGTAAATTTATCGTCTTTGCTCGACCATAGGTCCAATGAAGACTCATCAAGCACGTATACGTGGTCGTTCACGTAGTCCACCGCAAGACTGATCGCGTAGGAAGGAAGGCTTAGCACGGTGCTGGCGGGAGGTGTGGTGCTGAAATTATACACGGTGAGCTGTTTGCCAGCGAAGTATGCGAGGTTCTTCCGAGATTCGTAGAAAATCGAGTTGACTACACCCTCCACCGTGACCATCTTCTTCAGTTGAGATTCCTCGCGCAGCGGGTATTCGTATGCTTGACCTTCGTACTCGAAAATCATCTGCGGCGCATCTCCCATCACCCGACACGTATGGCTATCGTATTCCATGTGGTATCCGGTCGGACATATTTTCTCCACGGCTTTGCATTTATTACCGGACTCCAGGACGAATCCCCTCGGACAGTCGCAAACAGGACCCTCCTGATTATAAGTACAGGAATGGCTACAGTTGAGCGCTGAGCACACACTGACTTTGATACAAGCTCCGGTGGCGTCATCGTACGCAGATCCCTCACCGCATCCGCACGAGTAGGTTCCAGGGTGATTGTGACAGGTGTGTTCGCAGAGCGGCGGAACTGCTTTGCATTCATCGATGTCCACGCATTGATTGTTGCTGCTGGTGAAACCGTGCTTACAGCAATAGAACTCAGTCGATTTTTCGGAAGGCGTGAGCCTCGCGTGGAGCACGCACGTTCCTTCTGCGAAGCACTTGCTCGGCGTTCGAACCTGATGCAGGCAGCGAGCTCGGGCTTCGCGGCATTGCACCTGATCGTATGCAGCGAACACGACGAGAACTAAGAGCGTTCGACGCATCGTTTGTCGATGAGCGACTCCCAGCTCCTGACCGATCATATTACCATGGAGGCGAGTTCCAGAAACACGTCGTTCGGCTGACCTTTCGCAGGGAAAGGAAGCCAGAGAGAACGAGGCTCTGACACAGAGAAAGTGATATCGTGACCGGAACAAAAAAGAAAGAAGAAAACGGAGCATTTCACCCTCATTTCTCTAGAGCAGCTTGCGAGAGAACAGTGGAGTTGCTTCCGCCTGATGACAGATCGGTTTCGGCCTTCAGGAGCCGTCTAGGGGGAGGGGTATCCTTCGAGGCGCATCGACGATTCTTGGAACTCTAACCAAGCCTGATCTAGGGAATCGTTTGGGAGACACCATCTCACAGGTATGGTTTGTCCATCGTCGTCCGCGTAAGCGTCCCATTCCGTTCGGATTTCTAAGAGCTGGTCGACGCTTTGGAAACTATAGACTCGCTTGCCGCCGAGGATCGCATCGAGCTCATAGGTTGGGAGCGATAAGTTTGACTTATAGTAGTAATTTTCGAGTGCACCCCTCATGGCAAGTAGTCGCTCTTTCAAACGTCCGACGTGAGCATGAAAAAGATCCGACGCATCTCGCTCACTGGAATCTGTGTTCGATTCGGCGAGGGCTCGCAATGTTTCCAAACGCTCCAAGTGTTCTAGCCTCAAAGAAATTTTGTGGAGCAGCTTTCGCCGTGATCTTTCGACTATACGGAGTTGCTGAACGGGATTCTCGGCCGCTTTCGATTTCTGATCGGCTACGGCAGACTGATGCTCATCTTTCCTCGCCTCATCGACACAGCCATCGACGGCGTCGACGTCCCTTCGCGCTTTTTTCGCAAGTCGTCTCAGATGTCGCTTCCAATTCCTGAACCAGCCTCGATCACGGGCCCTCCTTTCTTCCCTCGGTGGTTCCATCGGAGGCTCTCTTGTCGAGCCTCTTCCTATCGCCTGGAATATACGAAACACTTGGTGGGCTAAAGCGTTGACCACCGAAACTTGCGCAAGGCTTTCGGAGTTCTACCGCTCCCCACTATCGAGGAGGGAGACGCTTTTGAGAAATCGACCAGCCCGGCCAGCTGGCTCCCCTGAGGAACGGGGAAATGTACGGTGGAAAGATAAAGCAAGCGTTTTTGAATACGGAAGAAGGGGAAGAGGCGATACATCTTTCAGAAGCTAGTATATATCGAGACGCCAGGCATTTATCCATCTTCCTCAAAAGCAAAGAGCGCGGAATTCGTGAAAATATTTTATTTTATTGATCATCGGAACCATCATTCTAAAACTACACAAGAGCTCTTAACATATCTCGTTCTGAACGACGACCCGAAAGTGTGCGCCCCATATCAGAGTGATCATGAGCGCTCAAATCTATTGAGGCACCACTCCATCGGACCTTTGCCGACCCGACGCACTCTTCACCGTCATAGAGGGCGATATACTGGCCTGGAGCCACGGCTCGCTTGAAGTGTCCCAACCTCATACTCAAACCCTTCTCGGTATTCTCAACTATTTTGCAGCTGGCAACAGGCTCTTTGTTTTGACTCTTAAATGTCAAGTTTCCGGTCCAGCCCTCGAAGGACGGATTGATCCAGTGAGGCGTGAACGTTCTCACGGAATCAGCGAAAAGACTGGGATGATCGTGACCAGCGCATACGAAGATGTCGTTGCCTTCCGATGTTCTCGAGATGAAGTAGCGAGCCGGACTATTCCTCAGGAGGGCTCTCTGACCCAAGGTCCACATGTGCTTGCCTTTGTGCTCACCAACGACTCGGCCGGTATCCATGTCAATGAAGTTCCCCGGTCGCGCCTCAGCGTATTGATCAATGAATCCTTTGAAATCCCTCTTTCCTATGAAACATATTCCCATGGACTCCTTCCTAGCTGCCAGCTCCGGTAGGCCCATATCTACGGCCATTCGTTTCACTTGCGGCTTCGAGAACTCACCGATCGGGAATTCTGCGAATTGCAGTGCGCTACGGTGAATCCCAGCGAGAAAGAACGTCTGGTCCTTTACGAGGTCTTTACCCCTGAGCAAATGGGTGGTTTTGTCATATTCGCATGTTCGAGTTCGCGCGTAATGCCCTGTCGCGAGTTTCTCGGCTCCGAGAGCATTCTGGCAGAAATCGAGCAAACGACCGAACTTTATGTGCCTATTGCAAAGAACGTCCGGGTTCGGAGTCAGACCGCTCGTATACTCCTGCAGCATCGGTTCGAAGACGTTGAGCCAATATGCTTTGGATAGATCCACTGTCGTGATTTCCACATCGAAATGTTCGGCGACAGCTTGAGCGCTGCTGAGGTCCTCGGAGAGCGGGCATTGAATATCGCCGCCTTCGTTCCAGTTCCTCATGAATACGGCTTTCACGAGTCGACGTGGGAATCGCTTCAGTAATAGATGAAGACTAACCGCGGAATCCACTCCGCCCGACAACGCGCAGGCGATCATCTGCCGAAGAGTAGGAAACGAGCAAATGAGTCGGACATATAGCAAGAGATATATCGCTCTTGTCGTCGCCGCCGCTGCCTTCTGTATCTTCCGACCGCCCAAGTTATTCTCGACATGCAGTGAGCTTCAAGTTCTTTCACATTCTTTTCCGAGCTACCAGTTGTTAGTCTGAGGAGCTCAGCATCGACCCCCTCTAACTCGGACCTCGGAATCTTCACCCAAGAATCGATTCCTTTCACGGTTCGATCACTGTATTCGTTTCCCGCAGTAAGAAGTCAGCAGGCCTAGGATCGATTCCTGCTCACCAGGGAATTAGGGAAGCGGAATGGAATATTGGGCGAATCGTACCGCGAGTGCGAACAAGCATCCCGATAAGGGTCGAGAAGCTCACCGATAGATTCGATCAAACCGAGGCATCTCGAAACCGACCCCTGCTGTCGCTTCACAAAGGAAACTTGCGATAGTGTGTTCCTTTCCTCCTTCCTAGCTTTTCAATTTTCGTCGTGGCCTCGTCCTCCTGCATGGTCATCGAGTGGAAACGTAATCTCATCTCATTAGATTCGGGATTGCCTAGTTTCCCTTCCGCGTCCCAGCAGCCACCTAAAAACGATATCCCCCGACTGTGCATCTTCTGATAGAGTGATCAGCGGATGATCGCAGCCCGTACTTCGACATATCGTCGTCAGGTTCGGGAGTCCCTTGATCAGACCGGGAGCTTTCACCACCTCCGTGAACTGTTCCCCTAAACCTAACTTAACGATACAGATACTCAACTATTAACGCCGAGTACGGACGAAAGATCGCCACGAGCCTGACGGCTCGATCCGATACTATGAAATGACTCGTATTCGACGGGAGTGTGCAATGAGAGGGTTTACACCCAGAAGTTCCCGTGCTGGGCTGCTCACGAGCCCGCGACTTCACTGCATGAACAGAATTGACAGGGCTCCACAACGATCCGACTCATTACCTTTCTTGAGAGCTCCGTCGCCGAGAAGTCAGAAAAATCACCAGGAGCTCTTCATCGTGCTCACAGAGATTCGCTGGCACGAATTTTCTAATCCGCTCTACTGGTAGGAGAGCCGTGCATGTTCGATTAGAGTTAGGCTCTAAGCTGCCCGCCATCACTGGCGTTCGATGGGATGCCAACACTCCCATTTACGAAGTCGACTCGGTCTCTCCAGCCTTCCTCCAACGTAGCCAGGTATGGGCTTCTTGTCCAGAGGGATCCTATCGACTTCGATAAGCCGCGTATCCCCATGCTTCACGCGCAAACGCCGACACGTCCTCGCAGCATCCCCGTGTTGAGACTCGTATGCCGCCAGATCAGCGGGCACTTCTCGCCTCATACAAACCCACTCTCCTGAATCGGAGCACGGCTAGAAGCTGGACCGCGCGGAATTGCGGCAAGTAGGCACTTCCGAGCCAGTGGTGAAGTTCCGGATTTGAAGAGGACCTGACTACTCCCGCCCTCATAACGTGAGTTGTTCTCTCGCTACCCCCCGCATGCATTGCAGGCCGATACTCGGCGGCTGCCGGTAACCATGGTTGCAAGGGAATTTCGACATTCAGGGATTTTTCTCTGTGGATTATCCCTCGAGCTCCCGCTCTCGGCCAGAAGTCGAAAAGGGAAGTCAAACTCGGCCCTCTACGGGAGTCGACCAGGGATCCGGGACCCTCGCAGCGTAACGCCGAATCCTATGCTCAACTCCGACATTTCGTACAGAGCTCTCTCTGGGATAGTCGGAAGCTCAGTGAAACTACTGCTGTGTTTACAGTTTGCCAGGGACGCTGTTTATTTATTTTTGTGCTGCCGCAGTTTCGGAGGATTCTCAGCGACATGGTATTCCCCCAACCGGAACAGAGTGCGCATCAGAATCTGGTGCATAATCCATCCGGTCGACAACAATGCTCTCCCTCTGACACCTCCCGTTGGAGCTTCTGTCGTCTCCGGAAATCTGTCGGATACGGAGTGTTAGCTCTGGAACTCGTCAGTCGTGTAATTCCCTCGATATTGTTCAGAGGGCTAGGAACGTTCAGTTCTGCGCAGGACCCCGCTGTTGCGGTCGGCGAAATCTCGAGGAAGAGCATCCTCTATAGGCTTCCGCCATTTTGACTTCCCGAGTATTTCCCTCTTCCTTCAACTCTCCTCCGCCTCGAGGCTCCCACGCAGAGTCGCTCCGCAACTCCTCCGGAAACGAGTTCTCACCCTCCCATCTACGAACAAATCAAGTTCAGTGATTCGCTATTCCGATTTCTCCGGTCTAGAAACACGAGATATACAGATCCTAGCGATATATCCCCTCTTAATCGCGAGCGGCCTCACCAGATTCGCGGCGGCGAATCATCACACTGTCGAAACGAGATACCGATGGAATGGAAACCGCAGCCATGTCGAGACCGTGTTGAGCGATCATGTCAACTCGGAGGCTCTTAATTAGGCAATTCTCGCCAGATATTCAAGGGAGCGTACCGTGTGGACTTCCAGAATCGACAGAATTTCGACTTGCAGACTTCCGGATAGGGACGAGGTTGCCAGCTGTGGGCTATCGGGAAGTCATTAGGAGCAGGTCGGTACGAGACCGATCATCCATTCGTTAATGTTGTTCGGAATTACGGTCTGATTCTCATTCGGAGATGAGGCTTGGTCTCGATTCTACCGTGTGAAACCATCTCCGTCAGAATCGACCTGAGCAGGAGACATCGATTCCGGAACATCGCGAAGCTCAAGGCCTGTCCCTCATCGGGGACGCGGAAGCTTTGTCCCGGTCGAGTTATTGCGTATTGTTCTTCCGAGTTGACAATTCTATGCAAGTGTTCGATTTCTGATCTTGACAGAGAATCGACTGGCCGTATCTTTCCAACGACGAATTTATCTCCCTGTTGTTTCCCCCCCCCCCCCAGGCGGGACCGTAGGATTCGGTGGTCGCACTGGATCTGATGGAGAGTTCACGAGAACGATAACCGTGGATTAGGCATGCTCAGAACAAATACATTGTCTTCTGATGATTTCAATTGGCGGCGCAGCTCGGCGGAAATTGCGATTGACGCGGTCGGAACAGAACGGTTGTGTAACAACCTTTTTGAAGGCCGGACACACACCCATTCACTGCATGTGCTGCGGAGCAAGGGGTGCTCCGTAAAAATTCTGAAAACAATTGGTTCAAGCTGCATCGCTTCCCTTAGTTTGCAATCGTCGATTAAATAGGCGGTTCGCTTATTCGAGTCAAACAGCGCACCGTGTTGGAAGGAAACTCCAGCATAGAGTAACAAACGAAGCAGGCTCCCCATTAGCGTAGCCCACCGAGCGGACAGCCCTCCTGACTGTGGGTCGAGAGGCAGGCTCGACGGCGAGCCCTATCTCGGGGCCGAAAGTGAACCAGGAAGCTATATGATGGTAACGCGCGACTCTCGCTCGCCATAACGGACAGGGGCGTTCACGAGGGAGAGGTAGCCTGTCGAAGATCATGCGATCCGCCCGAGCTTCTACTCGGCGAGCGGCCCATGGGCGCACCGTCAGAGTAAGCTTCTACTCCTCTCCTAGAAGGCAGACCCGACAATTCGCAAGCAACAATTATTTATTCACCTCATGGGATCTGATAGAATCTCTTCTGACACGATCAGGAATGCTCATCCCATCGTGATCGATTCACGAGTTACCGCGTGGTGCCACATGGGTGCTGAGGCACCATCAGGGTACCACCCATCGGGGCCAAAATAATGGAGTGCCATATCGGCGCAAAAGCGAGGATCGATTAGTCGAGCTCGACTGACGAGCGAACAAGGGGGCCGTTGCGTGGTCTTCCCCGGACTATTGATTCCTCGAAATTCCGTGCGTCTCGTCGGCCCATTGTGCCTGACCAGGGTTAAAGGGCCCATTCAATGACCCAGAATCGCCTGCCATGTCAGGGAGAATGTACGATCCAGCACGCTCAATATTCGTGCCCGTCGAGCATCGAGCCTGAGCGCGTCAGGTACTAGTTCTCGACGTGTAATCGGCAGTCGTACCGTGATGCGTGCCGATACCCAGCGTGCCTATGACGATCTGCTCTACCATGGGCACGGTCTGCCTTGTCTCCGATCAAGTTCTAGCGCGTCGTATCGTGAATTTCCGCCACCATTGATGCGGACTCGAGAGAAGTATCTCATCGTGTGAGTTCCGAGCTAGGTTTCCAGCGGGAGTCATCTGAAGGAACGGTTCGCTCGGAGTCCGCTGGTCGAATCGCCCTCGGTTGAGGGAGAGCGAATTCTTCGATTCCGGGAGAGCGTTGACCTTTCTCTGGTACCGGTTCTGGGTGGCGTTGTGACTCCTCTGGGTGACAAGCCCACGATTCATTCCCGAGATTCGGTGGCATTAACGTGAAGGAGAAAGAAAATATCCCAGATATGTGTTCAGAGACTCCAGGCGAAACTCTGCGCCGCCGTTCGATTTACGTTGGAGTCAGCATCCTCGACGAGCTCTGATCACGTTTCTTGTTGATGATCAGTATTCAGGGACGGTCGGTATCTGAGTCGATCCGAGCTCGATGTCTCATTTTCGCGAAAAGCAGGATCTCCTCAGCCGTGAGGTCTGCTCCAACCCCTGTCTTCAGAGCCGTGTCGGCTCAACCGACAGCCAAAATGAAGAAATATGCCTCCGGGCTCTGTTTATGTTTAAGAATGGATAAATACGTAAGTATCGGAAGGAGAAAAACACGTCAACAGACCAGCCAGAGATGCCGCGATAATACAGCTGAGGGCGCGGCAAGTCTTGGGAGGCACGCAGTCGAGCCTCCGCTGCATCCGTACACCTGTCACGTCAACGTACAGGCGTCATTCGCTCGAAATCTTCTCCGGGCGTCGACGATGGCTTCTCCAGACGTCAACACGTTATTTCCATCCTCCGATATCACACAGTATCACGGCTGTAACATATGCTAAGCAGCGATGCGTACTGACTCGATGAAATTCACCCTCCTCGGACAGCCGAAAGTGCTGCGTGTTTCGCGTCGCGCTGTTTCCCACCGTCGTGACTTCATCAAAAGACATCAGAGGACTCATGGAGTGGTTCGTTCAGAGACTCCCCGGAGATCATCTACTTCATCTGCATTTCAGAATATGATTTTCCCGGAGTGTGTACAATTTTATAATATCGCCGCATGCCCTCTGGGGGCTGTGTGTATTTGAACAATCCCTGAGGAATTCTGGTCCTCATAAGCAGATCCAGTACATTGCTCACGCGGAGCACAAAGTGTCACAGTGAAATCTGCAACTCGTTTTCTGAAAGTCGCATTCGAAATCCGATCTGCTTGGACGATCCGAACGTAAACGGATCCAATTTCGTCCCGGAATAAGCGGTATTCGGAGTGAAGTCAGAAGCGACCGTAAATGACGTTGCTGATCCCCAGTTCCGAGAGATAACATGGAAACACCAGACAGCGACAGCAAATTCGTCAGTGTCAACTGAGATCCGATCCTATGACCGTGGTAGACAAACAAGGCAATAGCGTCGTCGTTTCGAAGAGGTCGAAAGTGTGAGGGCGTATGTGCGAACAGTCAGTTCGCTCTGAACGTATCACACGGGAGTGAAGCTCTTGAGCGGCGCCGTAGAAGGAGTCTGTCGCAACAGCAGCCTGTGAAAGCTATTCGGGCGTTTCTCGCGAAGTCGTTTCCAGGAGATGAGCATCCATATTAAGTCGCCGGTCCCTGACGAAGATACCTTGATTGTTGACTGGCCTAGCAGTAATAAAAACATCGTCCTGAGCTCACGTGCAACGCGAGCTTCAACGACTTCAGCGTCAACAACGAGTCTGTGAGTGAGCGAGCGACCAACGAGCCAAAGATGAAAAGTTGGTGCGAATGACAGCTGCCGGCCGTTCGCTGAAACCGTCGCTGCTGGTGGTTACCGTGCTCTGGCTGTGCTCTTCTATTCTTGGCGTGAAGATTCAAAACAACCAGCAGTGAGTGAGTAAGCTCGAGCTTGTTCACTCACTGTAGCCTACCAGGCAACGGCCAGTGACCACGACGAAGGAAAAGCACCCACCAAAAACCCAGCCAGCCAGCTAGCCAGTCGGCAGCCACGCATCTAGCTTGCCAACCCTTGCCGCTC